CTATCTTGTTTCATACTAGACTGAACATCAATAGCTTGGAACAATCTAAGGATAAAGAGGGAAGATTTATTTTCTTGAAATTTAGTATGAATGGTAAGATATACACGTTGGCAAATATTTATGCACCTAACAAAGGTCAGAATTTATTTTTGAATCGGATATTTCAAAAGTTGCAATCTTTCTATGAAGGGGAGTTATTAATAGTGGGGGATTTGAATACTGATATTTTGGAGAACAAGAAATTGAACTTTAAAAAATGGAGACTTAGAGAGATACATGATATTTTGCAAAAGAAAAAGCAATCTACTTTTTTTTCAAAAAGGTATAAAAAGTTTTCTTGTATAGATCATATATTGATAAAATAAACTAATGATATGAGAATTAGTGGGGTCGAAACAGGGCCGATATGAATCTCTGATCATGCACCAATTACCATAGAGGTAGAACTGAATGAGGAAAGGAAGGTTAAACGATGGAGATTTAATTCTAAAATGTTTTTTCAACAAAAGGATAGGGAGGATTTATTAAAGGCGGTGGAGTATTATTTTAAGGAAAATAGGCAATCTGCAGATGAAGATATAATATGGGATGCTGCAAAGGCAGTTGTTAGGGGGATATGTATTACGAAAGAAATCCAGTTTAAGAAGGAAATAAATAATAGAAAAGAGCAAAAGTTAAAGGAGATGTTAGAACTCCAAAGGAAGTTACAAAAGAAATATGAAAAACAAACTCAGGAACAGCTAAATAAGTTGAAAAATGAACTACAGGAAATGGACATTACCTCTATGTGGAAAAGAGATGTATTGGTGAAGAATGAGTTTCAGAGAAGTAATATAAACTCAAAGAAGAGGTTGGCAAATTATTTGAAGAAAAGAAGGGAAAGGCAGAGGATAGGGTGTATGAAAAATGAAAAGGAAAATAAGGTATTTAAAGATAATCAGATAAGAGATTTTTGTTAACTATTATCAAAGGTTATTTTAAAGCAGAGGAAAGTAAACAATTTGATGAAGTTATAAGGAATAAAGTTAAAGAAGAGGGGCTAATAGAACTAAATGATGTTATTACAGAACAAGAAATCTTAAATGTTATAAATAATTTAAAAATGGGAAATCACCAGGTTTGGACGGATTTACAGCAGAATTTTATAAAATGGTGGGAAATTTGATAGTTCCAGAATTACAAAAGTTATTTAATAAAATTTTGAATAAAGGAAAAGCTCCATATTCGTGGAGGAGATCAGAAAGTATTACAATTATAAAACAACAGAGAGATCCAGAGGATCCTAATTCTTATAGATCAATAAGCTTGGCAAATCAGGATTACAAAATTTTTGCAAAGGTTTTAGCAAATAGATTGGAGAAATCATTACCAAGATTAGTAGGAGAAGATCAATATGGCTTTGTGAAAGGAAGATATATAGGTCACCCTATAAGGAATGTGATTAATGCATTAATTACCAATTACCATAGAGGTAATTAATGCGGTGGCGCAGGGAGTAAAACACCTGCCTTAACATCTAGTGAACAGCCTGTAAGGCTGTTCAAGACCCACCGTGGCCGGGGTGAGCACCTGACCCTAGTCCTAGCTCCCGCCCACCCAGCGGATCGAAAGCCGTAACAACTAGCGAGTAGATGAATGGGTACCTACCTTAGAAGGCAGGGAGCACCCCCCTCCATCGGGAGGTAAAATGGGAACCCCAGCAGCAGTGAGTCGGTGAGCGGCGGAGCGGCATGGAATGGCAGCGGTCGAGGTGGCGAGCGGAAGTGAGGAGACGTAACATCAAGCGGTGGACCAGCGGTGGAGGCGGAGCCAGGAGGTGCGAAGACGCAGCGGCGCAGGCAGGGCGGAGCCTGAGGGACGGAGCCGGAGCCGCGTCAATGCGATCTATGCGTCGATGGGCCCACCGACTCCAAAAAGACCACTGAGGAGCCTGAAGAAAGTGGATGGGAGAGGCCGAGCCGAGCTGACACCGAGAGCCGAGACAAGCTGACGAAATATCAAGCTGAATCCCACTGGGTGCTGGTAGGCAGTCCCCCCCTCAATAATATATGTGCCCATAGATAGGGATGATCTACTATGTAAGCCACTCAGAGACCCCATGGGAGGAGTTCGAGCGGGGTAAAAGTCGAATGTTAAATAAATAAATAAATAAATAAATAATCACGGGAATAATAATAGGAAGATGGTTCTCTTGAAATTGGTTATATATAAGGCATTTGATACATTAAATCATGAATATCTGTTTCAAGTATTACACAAATTCGGTTTCGAAGGCCCTTTTGTGAATGCAATAAAAGAAATTTATAGAGGAGGGAGAGCAGTGATTGAAATAAATGATGGACATACCGGGGAAGTATTGATCCAGAGAGTAAGGGTGTCCTTTATCCCCGATGTTGTTTGTCATAGCTATGGAACCTTTGGCAGATAGAATTAGGAATAGTGTTAGAATACAAGGGTATAAGGTAGGAAAGGAGGAAATTAAATTGAACTTATTTGCAGATGATATTTTATTTTAGGAAATCCTTTAGAAGCGATGAAAGAAGTAGGAATAATTTTAGAAGACTTTAAAGCATGTTCAGGTTTGGGAGTAAATATTAAGAAGTTGGAAATAATGTTCAGCAAAATAGATATAAAGGAACAAAAAGAAATAGCAAGGTTAACAGGTATGAACCTAGGAAATAAGAAATTGAAATATTTCGGAGTACTAATAACAAGAAATGTCAAGAATTTGATGGGGATAAATTATAAAATAATATGGAAGAAGATACAAAAAAGTTAAATCAATGGAATAATAAGTATTTGAGTATACTAGGGAAGATTAGGGCACTTAAAATGTTTATAATACCAAAGTTGATGTATTTGTTTCAGGTACTACCAGAATGGGTATCTAAGAAGCAGTTAAAAGAGTGGGATAAGGTATTATTAAATTTTGACATAACTTTTTGGAAAGAGCTACAGGTAAAGGACCTATGGAAAATGAAAGATATGTATAATGCTCAAGGGAATTTAATTCAGATGCAAGAAGTAATGGGAAGAGTGGGAGGACAATATTGATTAAGAATTATTAGTTTATATAATATTTTGAAATAAAGGAAGTATTCTGGAATATTAAATGAGGAGGACACCTTGATGGAAGAATTGTATGCAGTTAAAGAGGATAATAAAAAGGGTATTGTACGAAAGATACATAGCAAATTGATTGAAGATAAAATTTATATGACTGGTATAATACAGTCAAAATGGGAGAAAGATGTAAAGTTATCAGAAAATGAGATAAATAATGAAAGGTATTAGTGATATAAAAATGGAAAAAATTAGAGAAATGGAGATGAAATTAATATTGAATAGGACACCTGCTCAGCTATCTTATATGATCAAGGGATTGACATCCAATTGTTGGCATTGTAAAAAAGAAAAGGGTTATTTTGTACATCATTGGTGGGGGTGTTCTAAGGTGGTTAATTTTTGGCAAAAGTTATTGGAAAAGTGGAGGAAGTATGTAAGGTTAAAGTGGAGTTATCAGGGAAAGTATTATTCATGGGGATTTTAGGGAACTGTAAAACAGAAAAACCATATCAGGTTTTATTTAAAGCTATGATTTTAGCTGCCCATGCGGTTATAGTATTTGGCTAGAAAGATGCTACAAAATGGAGTACAGACAGATGGAATGATTACTTATATGAATGAATACAGTTGGACATATTAATGATATTAAAACAGGGAAAGTTAGGTGAGGATAAGATTGTGGAAGTCAAGAAGAGATGGTTAGGGTATATAAGATGGGTAAAAGCGGGGGGGGGCAATAATAACATATTGGTTAAACTCCAAAAGGTGTGCTCATGGTTGTTATAAATCAAGGAAAAATCAAGGAATAAATTAAGGAGGAGGAGGGAGAAAAGGGAATGGGGAAAGAAGCATTTATTGTATTGAAGTATGTAATACATGTTATGCTATGTATTGTTTGAGTTATATGGACGCAGGATTAATTACTTCAATAAATAAATTTTAAAAAAAGAAAAGAAAAGATGGCAATGAGGCTGGGACACTCTCCCGGAACTACAGGATCAACACATCTGGCTACTAAACCAGAAGTAAATATTGAGTTTACGAACATGTATAAGGAGGAGGAGGAGGAGATCCAAAAACAGCTTAAATAGACGAACTTAAAAACAGAGGAGACTGCAAAATCAGTGGAAAAGGTTGAAGCCAGAACAAAAGAGACTAATCAAAGACTGGAAGTGATGGGAAAACAAAGATCCTCTGATAAAGACCAACTTTTAAGACTGCAAATGGAAAAATCAGTGTATGTTCTGAGATTTCAAGGTGTTCCTGAACAGTAAGACGAGAATCTGAAGGAAATATTAAGTGAACCGTTGGCTCCAATTACAGGTTTAACAGCGGACACATTGCAAAGCGATCTGGATTTGGTCTTCCGGACATAGCCAGAATTTATTAAGAAAAAGAGCCTGCCTGGGGAGATAGTGGCGAGATTCTCTAAAAGATCAACAAGAAATGTGGTGCTCAAGGCCACAAATGGAACTACCTTAAAAATCAAAAATGAAGAAATCAGAGTCTTAAAAGACATTCCATTGGAAATAAGAAAGGACTCAATACAAAAATTTAACCGTTTTTTTTGCAGAAAAACTCCATCCCCTACAGATGGATAATACCTGAAGGATTGGTCTTCAACTACAAACATAAAAAAGAAAAGATAGACTCTGTTTAAAAAGCGAAGATGTTCTTGGAACAACAACAAAAACCAGCGAACAAAAAAGACACAGCAGACGAACAAGATATCGAAGAAAAAAGCAGCACACATGGGTCGGGAGACTCGGAAGCAACATCAAGTAGTAATCCAGAAGAAGACTCTGAATCAGAATTAGGGGCGAAAGCCCCAAAAGTCCTGAAAGTCAAATGGACATATGAAAAGAAGAAAAATAAAGGGAAGAAACAGATTTAGTAGAATTGTATAAGCCTAAAAGTTTTATTGTTTGTATTTACCTGATTTAATTTTATATTTACCAGTCTAATAGAAGCAGTAGAAATTAGCTATATTCAAAAAAATAATAATATTTTTTTGCAGAGAGAGCTTTAGCTAAATATGCATTTAATCATGATATATGATCCTTGTATAGCTTATTTTAGGTTAGTGTTAATGTTGTAGTGTTTTGTAGTGTTTGTAGTCAGAAAATAATTAAAAAAAATTTTTTTTAAGGCGCTTCCTTTATCCCTGCAGCAATCAAGGGTCTTCCAAGGAAAAGTTGTCTCCGAGCTCCTATATGGTTCCCGACTCTGTATCTATAAAGAAAGGTGCTCACTGGAAGCAGTACAATCCAAGTTCTTGAGATCGATCCTTGGGAGTCCCACAATGCATTCCAAATGCCCTCCTTAGATTGGAGACTGGGATGATCTCCTTGGAGACCAATATATGGCTCTTTGCAGCCACCTACTGGTTAAAATTTGGGATCGCCCTGGGAAGCTCAGCCATATATTGTGTGATATTAACAATGCATGAACGATCTACTGGACAGTGGTACCCCAACGGGGCTGATCTGAAGATGCCACCATAACCACTCAGGACCATCTTGTTATTGAAGCACTTTATTATTGTTATTATGTTATTATTGTTATTATCATGATTTTACTGTTTTATAGGATTTTATGCATGGGCTGTCGCCCCTTGTGAGCCACCCTGAGCCCGCTCGCGGGGAGGGCGGGGTAAAAATGCCTATATAAATAAATAAATAAAACTTTGTTTTCAGTCCAATGAGCCTTGGGCACCAAAAAGCAAAAGAAACAGTTTAACAGCATCTCTGGGATCAAGCTCTACAATCGGACAGAGCATACACATGGAAACATCCAATTATTCTCCAATATACTAAATGTCTTCAACCAGCAGATTACCTCAGATCCCTCACAATCTCCAAATATTGGAGAATCTTTACCCTTGCACGCTTTAACATTCTACCCTCAACCCTACTGGAAGGCAGATACCATCGCATCCCAGTCTCTCATGGTTCTGCCCATGCCATGCAGGGAAAGTAGAGTCTATCAAACATGTTCTGCTGCACTGCCCAATTTACAAGTATATCCCATTTCTATATATAGCTCCAGTTCTGTCAACTTTACCAAGAAGATCTGAAGAACTATATGTCTCCCTCCTTCTTGCAGACTTTTTCCAGGATACAGCTAATAAAGTTGCAAAATTTTGCCTTTGGGCATGTGGGACACACAAATGCCTGACTGAAGCCCAGAAGTAGCCTCCCAGTCGGAGGAAAATACCTCTTCGCCACTCCATAATTTGTGCTCAGTGTTAAGTCCCTGTTGCACTGCATCTGCCCCTTACCTTTTATTCTTTATTTTAGTTCTATTTCTTTTTACTATTATTACTGATCCTTCGAAGCTGATTTTATATCAAAATAAACGGTTGATTGATCTATGTCTGTTCAAAACTAGTGGTATTTTTCTTCCTACATCATGGTTATGCTCACAGGAGAGAAAAATGGAAAACTGTAACATGGGAGATGACCTTTAGTTATTTTGCACATAAAACAGGAAGCTGTTCTGGAATCTGGAATGATGTGGTTACATCTTAAAACACTTATGCCTTAATAAATACATGCTGGCTACTCAACTGGCTCTGAACAGTGGTTCCACATTTCACCAAAGTGGCTTCAGGAGGTAGATAGCACATCTGTTGTATGTTTAGCAAAGAACAAGTGTTTCCAGCTGTCACATAACTGACCCAGAACAGGGAAGAGAAAGCTAACTTGAACAGATTCTATGACATATGAAACTCGGATAAGAAACACATTATGGCAGGTTTAAACTTTCACAAGTCTGGTTTATATGAGAGTTTTGTACAGAAGTAGAATATTGGAAACAATATACACATTGTATGAAGTTATATACATACTGTCTTTTGGTAAAGGTTCCCTTGCTCGAAAGCCAGTCGAATCAGACTCTCGGGTTGCGGTGCTCATCTCCGTTTCAAAGCCGAAGAGCTAGCGCTGTCCGAAGACGTTTCCGTGGTCATGTGGCCGGCATGACTAAACACCAAGGCACACGGAACACTGTTACCTTCCCACTGCAGAGGTACCTGTTTATCTACTTGCAATTTCTTGCTTTCGAACTGCTAGGTTGGCAGGAGCTGGAACTAGAGACGGGAGCTCACTCCGTCATGCGGCACTCGGGTCTCGAACTGCTGAACTACCGACCTTCCACAGTCTGCAGTTCAGCATCTTAACCACTTGAGCCACCGCAGCTCTTTTGGTACATCTCTTTAAAATAACATGATAGATAACTAAAATGCATGCATACTAATTTTACATGTGAAGCAGTGTGTGTATATTTTATGCTCCAAAAATGTTGCCAAGAAGGGTGAATTAGGAGGAGAAAATTATGGGGCCCTTGTCATTCTGGGATTTTCAGTTTTAAATCAGATGTTTGGGTGGTCTGACCTGTCTGGGGAACATGGAGGGTTCTCAGCAGCCCCGTCCTCAGGTGTCATTCACACACACGAAAACATCTCATGTGAAGCATCCTTCAGAAACAAGATAAATGTCTAGGGGGAAAGCATAGATCCCTCAGAAAGCAGGTAGCAAGATAAGGATCTGAATTCTCTCCCCAATATAACTTCCAGCATGTAGAAGACCAGCCTTTC